AAGTGGTGCGCCAGTGCACACCCGGGATCCGAACCTGTGAACCCTGGGCCACCGCAGTGGAGCGCGAGCACTTAACCGCTGTGCCACCGTGCCGGCCCCAAGGCTCACCTCCTAATACCATCACATCGGGCATTAGGATTTCAAGATGCGAATTTTTTTTATTGAGGTCACATTGGTTTATAACATATAAATTTCAGGTGTACATCGTTATGTTTCAACTTCTGTATAGACTGCGTTGTGCTCACCCCCAAAAGTCTAGTTGTGTCTGTCACCATACACACGTGCCCCTTTACCCTTTCTGCCCTCCCTCGCCTCCATGTATGACTTTTGAGGGGATGCACCTTCCATCATCATGAGCCTGATACAGGCCCCTAAGGAACCCAGGACAAGCAAGGAGCCCTTGAAGCCCATCTTTTTGCCTTACCTGGCCCATCCCCTCAGGGCTCACTGTTTCCATCAGCTGGCCATAAGCTCATACAGTCAGGCGCCGCATAACGACGTTCCAGTGAATGAGCAGACCGCATATACGACGGTGATCCCATAGAGCCTAGCTGTGGAGTAGGCTGTACCATCTGAGTTTGTGTAAGGACACCCTATGACGTTCACACAACGATGGCAGCACCTAATGATGCATGTCTCGCTGTCACTAAGTGACCCATGACTCTGTTCTGCTGCTGAAGGCTGTGGTCCTTGCCGCTTCTTCAGTGAGTGTCTGCTCACCTGGGGCCCACAGCTAGAGCAAGACAATGCAGAAGGATCCAGATTCAACAATTAAACATTTGCTCATCTCTAAATGACCAGCTAGCAATTAGACCAGCACCTAGAACACAGAAGGTGCCAAATAACCAGTCGTTAAATATACCAACAAAAGATTTGGGGGGCTGTGTGCTGTGTAGATAAGCCTGCCAACTTCACTCTTTCCCTCCTGTGTGACCTCAGGCAAGTGGCATCCCCTCTCTGGGCCTCAGTTCTCAACTATGAACTGGGGACGGTCATCTTGCTACCTCTCAGGACTAATGGAAAGAACTAATGAGGTCATTTATGTCAAATGCTTAGCAGACAGACATGCAAACAATTGCTTAATAAACATTTGATATTATTGTTAATCTGGTGTTTGCCGAAGTGTTTCTCCTTGCCAGGTGTACTAGAGATGAGCTATGTGTTAGCCATGTTGTGAAAGGCATGGGCTGTGTGTTAGCCGTGTTGTGAAAGGCGGTTAAATAATTTCCTTTTTCATAAGCCTTCTCGAAATCTTGCTCATTGCCAGCTCTCCTGACCAGACAGTTCCACACTATTCTAGTGACATTTGCTTTTTATAACAGTTTTCAAAATTAAATATTCGTTATAATTATAAATCTTTTTTTTTTGTTTTGTTTTGTTTTTTGCTGAGGAAGCTTGGCCCTGGGCTAACATCTGTCCCCATCTTCGTCTACTTTATATGTGGACGCCTGCCACAGCATGGCTCGATAAGCGGTATGTGGGTCTGTGCCCAGGATCCGAACTTGCAAACACCAGCCCACTGAAGCAGAGCACATGAAGTTAACCACTATGCCACCAGGCCGGCCTCAATCCTCCTCTTTTTTTGCTTGAGGAAGATTAGCCCTGAGCTAACGTCTGTACCAATCTTCCTCTATTTTGTATATGGGACGCCACCACAACATGGCTGACAAGTGGGTCTGGCCCCGGGATCCAAACCCCAGAACCCAGGCCGCCGAAGCAGAGCGTACTGAACTTAACCACTAGGCCACGAGGCTGGCCCATGGATACGTATTATTGACTTAGGCAGTGAAAGTCTCTCGCTGTGCATCAGCCACCACTGTCGCCTCTGGTTTCCTGTTTTTGTTTCCAGAGACATTTTACCCAGATAAAAGGAAATCTGTACACATTATGCTTTCCCATCTTTTGCAAAAATAGTAACATGTCCTACTATATAGAGCTCTCATCTATATCCTTGTGATTTATTTTTTCCACGTAATAGGTCTTGGAGACGGTCCCACATATCCAGGCAAACAGTTTTCTTTTTCTATTTTATGATTTCGTTGTAGTCATCGCTGACGTGTTATCTGCCTTTATTCCCTGCTGGGGTTCCTGTTGTCATTTCTAATCCTTTGCCAGGCCCAGGATGCTGCTGTAGTGAGTAACCACATGTGGACATCATTTCACCCACGTTCAAGGGTATCTGTAGGACAAATTCTTAACAGGAGGGGCTGGCCCCGTGGCTTAGAGGTTAAGAGCGCGCGCTCCGCTGCTGGCGGCCCGGGTTCGGATCCCGGGCGCGCACCGATGCACCGCTTCTCCGGCCATGCTGAGGCCGCGTCCCACATACAGCAACTAGAAGGCTGTGCAACTATGACATGCAACTATCTACTGGGGCTTTGGGGAAAAAAAAAAAGGAGGAGGATTGGCAATAGATGTTAGCTCAGAGCCGGTCTTCTTCTCAATGGGAATGGCATTTAGGATCTCGCCTGGTAACCGGGAAAATACACTGCCCCTAGAATATGTTTTGATATTTGATAAGGCAGTTCTCTCTCTCTTTTTTTTTTTCCCCAAAGTTTTCTTGGCTTACCCTGGTGGAGCTACTGTTTATTTATTTATTTGTGAGGAAGATCAGCCCTGAGCTAACATCCATGCTAATCCTCTTTTTGCTGAGGAAGACCGGCCTGGGCTAACATCTATTGCCAATCCTCCTCCTTTTTTTCCCTTTTTCCTCTCCAAAGCCCCGGTAGATAGTTGTGTGTCATAGCTGCACATCCTCCTAGTTGCTGTATGAGGGACGCGGCCTCAGCATGGCCGGAGAAGCGGTGCATCGGTGCGCGCTCGGGATCTGAACCCGGGCCGCCAGCAGCGGAGCGCGTGCACTTAACCGCTAAGCCATGGGGCCGGCCTCAATCATGGACAATTTAAAGCATATACAAAAGAAGGGAAAATAATGTAATGAACCTGTGCTTACCCAACAGGCGGCATCAAGTTTGCAACACCCGTGGCCAGTCTTGTTTCAACTCTCCCCCACCCCCGCCCCGCCACGGGGTCATTTTGAAGCAAATCTCAGATATGTCATTTTGTCAAAACTTCCATCAGTATCTCGAAAAGATGTAACCACAAACAATAACTACAAAATCATGACCGCCCACAGAAAGTTGAATGATAATTCCTCAACATCATCGTGCAGCCTCAGTTTCAATTTCCCCAATTGTCTCTTAAATATTTGGTGTGTGTTTGTTTAGAGTTTGTTCAAAGAAATATCCAGGGCCGGCCTGTGGCTTAGCGGTTAAGTGCGCGCGCTCTGCTA